TTTATTGCACGAATTTAAATTCGCTTAAGAGTTATGCCTCATCAATTTTGTTTGAGCCTGCGCAAAAGGCACATAAGATAGTAAACATGATAAGGCTCTTATGAATATTTACTAGTTTTGTGTCCGCTAGTACTAAGACAATCTACGGAGCTGCAGTAATCGAAAAATGCAAATATGTAACTACGTTTCACTTTCCGTTTCGGTACCAATTTGTAAGAGCGCATCCATCTTTCCAAATGCCTGACGTACTTTTGATTCTTTCATTTCGTTCAGAATGGTTCAGCTTCTCGGTTAGATGAATATTGTTTTTCTTCGTAAAGACGATAAGGATCATATACAACTGATGACTACCCAGCTATCGACTTTCGGAAATTTGTTTCCGGATTGTTTTTCGTAGGCTCCACAAGTCGACGTCACGATTTCCGCAGACAATGAGCGCATCATCGTCACAGATGCTCGCTCTAGAGATTATCACTTGATGATGCCGATGATCTTGGTACGGTAGCGCCTGTACTTCAAACAGCAACGCCCAGAGTTGGACGTTTTCGAAATCAGAAGTCAAGTGAACAATTATCCTATTGCTTGTTTTATAGATAGCATTCTCGTTGTAACGGTTTACTTTTTAGAGCTTGGCCTTGGTATAACTTGCGTATTATGGGTTTATGACGCGTCAGCCTTTTAGCGATGTTTGACCTCCGCCTATGGAAAATTAGGAAGAAATAGATTACCTGCACCTTATTTAGCGATGACAGAAGCTTCCGTTAACGTTTCGCTTACAAAAATATATAACTTGATAAACCCTTTGTACGTTCATTATTATTATTATGCTTGATGAGCAAAGCATGACATCGTGGTGCTCTTAGCTTGGTCTGGATACGCATTAATATCCTTCATTCCAGCATTTCGCTGACTTATTTTTCCTATATTCGTGTAGTCAGTTGTACTACTTTCTCATACGTAAGGTCTGTGCATAGTTGGGGAGGAGCTTAAATCAGGAAATATTCGTGCCAGAGAATGAACTTAACTTTTTTTTTAAACTAAGTTTTATTTATTATACACTTAAGTTCCTTGGAAAAAGCGACGGAACGTATCTCTAAGTTGAGCTGAAGCCTTCGTTATGTTTAATAGATTCGAGAATATTTCTAGGAAATTTGAAACGAACAGCGCCAGTAAGGTCACCCGAGTAAAGGCGTCGGGTACCCTTGTTTTACGATACGCCGCAATCCTGGCTAAGGCTCAGAAGTTATTACAGTTGTAACTCCACAAGGAGTATTACTCACTGGATACAAGCGAAACAACCATGAAAAGAGCATTCAGGAACAATGGAATGTACACTGCCTTTAAACTCACAACGCTTAGCTCTTCTGATAACAGGCCTCACGACCTTGCTACAAACGTCGTCTATTCTCACGGGAAATACTTCGCTCGTGAATGTTACGTAGAACGGCCGCATCATAATTACGGAGCGGCGGGTGGTTAGTAACGGATAGTGCCAAGACCTTGACTAGAAATGCAAACACACTGATATATGGAGTCGGATCATCCTGTATTTTTAGAGGGACAGACATTTGTGTGGGATTTTGTCAAGGGCATCGGGGGTATCTTTGGAGATCGTCATAATGGTTATGCCACCTTTAAGAGCAAATGGCTCCTATTGAAGCTGCACAAAGAAGCGAGCCTGCCTTGTTTGTCGGCACAACAGAGTGAGGGTTCGACGGACCTTGAGCCTCACAATGTTTATTTCTTGCAGTTGTGATCTTAGGTATGGAATGATAAAATATGGTCTATTTGTAAGTTACAAAATATTGAATATATTAAGTTAACGCGAACGATCTGTCGAAAATTTCCCTTACTCGCAGTAGAAACCTGTATCATCACCGTCTATCGTTTCTTTCATCGGCCTGATATGGTTTCTACTTCGTTACTTTGAACTATAGAGGGGAGGCGCCTATAACTATATTTATTGTGTCGTCTCAGTCGGTTTTAATCTATCTGTAAAAGTGACTTCGCACGTTCTATTCCTCGAACCGAGTATATTGCATATTAGTGTATCTGTGTACGTACAGTGTACATGAGGGAACACGCATATCTAGACATAAAGTTACTGAGGTACATAATAGCGAACTGATAGATTCAATGTGTGAATATAGTTTGTTGAAACTTTACTGGCTGCATCCATGGATAGAATGCCAACGGCGATGCCTACCGGACGTAAAAACATAGAGAGGCTGAATGAACCGAATGAGACACGAACGCTTAAATGAAAACTTGGCCAGCCGCATGAATCGGCCTTAAAGTAGACTGCATCGTTTGCAATCAAGTACACCTGCAGCAGAACGTGCGTCGTCGGCGTTCTAGACAGAAAAACGTCAGTGATAAATAAGCACTTCGAATCCTACTCAAGGACTGTATCTCATGTGACCTGGTGATGAACAGATTCCAGAGATAGCATAAAAAAGCAAATGTTTTTCACACATAGCTATCAGAAGACTGACACGACGACACTAACCCACGGTCGACTTTAAACAGCTACCTTATGTTTAAATACACTATGAAGCTTTCCTGTACTATTCAAGTCTGTGGTGCTTTGCCGCTTCAGAATCGGGCGACGAAGTTCCTATTTTCAAATGTCTCTTGCTAAAGTGAGATATTGTAACATTCATTGAGAGTCGTTGGCTGTGTAGAGAAAAAGTTTATTAATCATAAAATGAGCCACAAGATTTCTAAACGTTAGAAGTGTTTAATCACCATAGAAAAAAAGTAACAGTAAGTCATTTAGATTTGTGTTCACAGGTTGGTAAATCAGCATACATACTAAATGTCTGATAAGTTAACTAAGCCTAGCGTGGCTTTTTCTTATCATACTGTTCGTATGCTGACAGTAGTCCGTAAGCTTTCCACCATTTTCAGATTTGCCTTTACTCCACTTGCTACACCTCAATATATATACATATTAGCAAGCAGTATGTAAGTAGTAAGTCGAAACTGAGGAGATAGCCTCAGTCTCAAATAATTTTTCATTACTTGACAGCAGGACGTTTCTAGACCGCAAAGATTTTTTCCAATGATTGAAGACAATGCCAGCGAAGAACCAATGCACCTCAGCTTCTATTCGACGAGACACTATAGGCAGAAGCACTGCTTAACCGCTAGTTTTGCGGAAATTCGGTGCGAATAGTAGTCAGCAACTATATTGCCATTTTCCTGTCCGTTTGTAAGTATTTTGAAGCTGGAGGTTCAAAAAGTTTTCAGAATTGAATCTACCTAGAACTAGGTTCAATTATTCGAAGTCGAAAACCTGCTCGTTTGGATGTTCTATTCAAGGTATTATAGCGATTACCATAGTTCTGTGTATGCTATCAGTTACGACTGTCAAAGCGTTACTTTTGAACGAACTCCATCGCTAAAGGTTTTATGATCAAAAAGCAGGGGAACCATCCTTAATAACACTCAAATGAGTTATTGCTGGACTTATATTGACCTGTCAACATCTATATGTGCTGATAACAGGACAGATGTACATCTGTCCTGCTGATAGGATACATCAATGCGCTCTATTGCAGTTCTAAAGTACAAGGAAAAAATTTAAATGTAGACAGTTTAAAGAAAAGCAAAAGTATCTATGTAAAACACCCATTAAAATGAGTATTCAGGTAATTCATTAGAGAACTCTTGTTATTCCATAAAAGCAAAACCGTTTGATAGCCTTCAAATTTTAGCTGCAAATGTTCGTTCTTGACAGGACTTGAACTCAATGGAATCAGATTTTAATAGTTATTCTATATTTTAACCCCAGCACTGCCGTTAGGCTTTGCTTCAAACGCTGGTTCCCAGTGCAGATCGGCTGTTTCGCTTGTCCGAAAGCCTAATAGGCAACTATGCCACCAACACACTGTTTCGAAAACGAAGAGTCCAGACCTTCCTCTTTTGCTATCACAGGAAAATTTAAATCGAAAACAAGACAATCTGCTATCATCGGTAGGTTCTCAATCGACGAATAATTTCTCTTTATTTACTAACTATTGTATTTGCATTTTAAGCGACAACATTGGAGCTGGTACTGTCCACGCGGATGGCGATCGTTGGTCATAGCTACGGAGGTCGCATTGGACCGCGACTCTGTATTGATCGAGGATTGCACGCTATATTTAATATTGGTTCGGGTACAACCGCTAGAAAGTTTGTAAACATCAACCTAACGTCTTGATAGCTCGGGAACACACAAAAGGTTCGCCGCGTTGACGAATCGCAAATAGCCAAATTAAATACGGATACAAAAATGCGATAAACTACCATTGTGAAAGAATACATTTTTTATAAAAAATTATAATAGATTCAAGAACAAGGGCAGAGATTTCCTGTCAGTGACAGGTATTGATTATAAAACGCACACATCTAACCATGACGAAAAGTAGGGTCGCACACACGTACGTAGTATAGATACTAATTATTATGGCTAATGGCTTACTGATGCACTCAGCTACTCGGCGGCAGACTGTTATCGGCAGATGTCCTCCAAAACAATGTATGTGCTAATTATACGTCTACATTTGAGAGAAGAGACGCAATGTTTACCCAAAACAGAAATTTATTATAAATTTTAACAAAAGGGATAGAAAAAAGCAATGTTTTTGCCCTATTTTATCTAGACACGCTACTCTTCTGTCCATAGCATAATTGTATTATTTTCTTTCGCATTCATCCTGCCGTAGATAAATCTAAATAAATGTTTCGAGTGTCACGTCTGCTACTAGCGTTAAGTATAGCTTCGCATCGTTGGCTCCTCTCAGCACAAAACGGAATGTATCTACGCGCGATTCTAAACCAAATCGGCTGCCATGTGCCTAAAATTTTTACCATTTTCACCATTACGGGAGCCTGCAGAGAGGTCTGCCGCCAAAACGCTCGATTCGACCCTTTCCGCTCGTCTTAATCGACGGATGCGAAGCACAGAGCACATGGTATCTTCCTAGAAACACCGCTGATCAAACTACCCGGTCTCTCATAAGGAGCACTGACTATAAGTGTCCATAAAAATTAGATGCACTAGAAATTTTTTAACGAAATTAAGTACTTCATCATATAGTACGTGCCTGTCAATACCTGTTTGTAAATTTAATCAAGTCATAATGCTGTGAAACAAAAATACATTTGGTCAAATTTGTATTTCACTCGGTTTAGGCGTCATTTCAGCTTGTGTGTGGCTTTACCGTGAGTATTATGGCAACGATTGCGCGGTTCAGCCGTAAAGTGTTCTCTGGTATCCAGCCCACTGGAGTTCCTCATTTAGGAAACTATTTTGGTGCTATCACTCAATGGACGGCATTACAAGAAGAAGTAGAAACAAAGTGTCTTTATTCAGTTGTGGATCTGCATTCGGTTACAGTACCTCATTACGATCCGAAAGCTTTACAAGAAAAAATAGAAGTTACGACGGCTTCTTTGTTGGCTTGTGGAGTACGATCCGACACATTATTCTTGCAAAGCATGGTGCCCGAACACGGCCAGCTCTGCTGGCTGTTCAACTGCATTTCGACAATGAACAAAATGTACCATTTTCCACAATTCAAAGAGAAATCACAGGGAATGCGAGAAACCCCCCTTGGTCTCTATCTCTATCCAATACTTCAATCGGCCGATGTATTATTATACAAAGGCACCCATGTACCAGTTGGTCAAGATCAACTGCCGCACATACATCTCATTAATGATATTGCCCACACGTTCAACAAACGCTTTGGAAAAAACATATTTCCTAAATGCAAACCAATCCTCGACACCAAGAGTTCTCGTCTACGAGATTTGCGGTATCCTGATAAGAAAATGTCGAAGAGCGCGGATCCGAAAGGAAAGATTGACTTAAACGAGTCACCCGACAACATTCGTTCTAAAATAAAAAAATCAATGACAGACTGCCAGTCGGAGATAACCTTCGAGCCGGAAACGCGACCTGGTGTATCTAACCTCGTCTTAATTCATTCTCTCTGTTCAGGCAAATCGACGGCGGAAATCGTTGCTTCAGCAAAGGGAATCGACACCGGCCAGTATAAAGAAGCTGTGGCCATAGCTGTTATAGAACGTCTAACTCCAATACGAGCCCGTATGAACGAATTGCTACAAAATCGATCATATCTTTGGCAACTTCTTAAGACTAACTCTGAGGCTTTGCGCCCAGAAGCCCAAAGTACTTTAGAGGAAGCTCGTATTGCAATGGGAATGATGAGAAGTACAAGCTGATATTTTACAAACAAACCATTTGTTTCTTAATGGTTATCTATTTTACTTAATGGTTATTAAAACTTACCTGCTCGAATCGAGTGTGTCATGTATGGGGATATGTATAAATATTTGTAAATATATATATATATATATGTGGTACTTGAATAAACACATGGTTGATTTTCAATTGAAAAAGTATAATATATGTTTGTTTTGTAATGTTATGTAGGTTATATTGCATGTGAGCGGTATTAATAAAGTATTTTAGTGAAACATGGTCGCGATATTGGTCTCGTTAGTATTGACGGTACGCCTAAAAGGAAGTACGCAAGAAGAACTTACGGCTTAGGATAAATGTAACTCTTAACATTAAGAAAAACATTACAAAATCATATTAGTTCTAACCATATATATGCATAAGTATCTTGAACTAAAAACAAATATAGAAAGTGATACGTTCGTTAACGGGAATTTTTGAAACTTCTTCTTATTTTCCCAGTATCTCTACGTACGCATCGTATGGCCCAAATCAAATCAATTACTTAGGATTTTTCAGTATCCAGTAACCTAGCTGTTTAGGTTAACCTGCGGTACTCAACGCTGAGGTTATTCCTCTATATAGGAAAGAAAGATCTCCCTCTTTTATGATGTCGCCTTATCTTCAAGAAATACATCAAGAAAGTCCCTATCCATTGGATTTGGAAGCGCTCACACAGTTTTTCCTCTAAGGAACACTACTTCAATGTCCCTTCTGGGCAGTATGATCATTCGTGTTCGTCCCACAACTCTGAGTTCTCTGCGTCTTATTAAGAATTGTTCACTGTTCCAGGTACCATACGTGCATTTAGTGTTTGCTTGTTTTGTAATCAACACGAGTAAAAAATATTTCTTACGTCATAGTCATCTAGTTCTCCAATTTAGGTCTTGTACGTTGATTTCAGGGTTTTGGTAAACCTAGTTTGTTTACTTGATGTGTGACGTGATCGTGACGGTAAGCACATTTGCTTTATTTATCTATACACTTTAGTGTATTTGAACGCTCACCTTTAGCCACAGAATCACAACTACACTCGGCGCTCACGTGCGAGAACGTCTTAGGAACGCAGCTTAAAACATTCGATTTAATTCAGTTCAACATCTGTTGCTCAAATTCTGTGGCATATCCTTAACGTTCTCTTCAATTATCCGAATAAAGAGCATCGTTTAATATATACAATTAGGACTTGATTTGAGTAATATACTTGACTTTGATCATGAGTAATCGTGTCCAAATTATAACCCTGTCCTTGGGCCCAGAATTATTATCATAGTGGATAGCTCTAAGAAAACAACAATCAAACACGAGTTACAGTCTTTGAAAAAAATGTTTATTTTTATATAGAATCAACAACAGACCAAACTATGGCGAGAGTAGATTCTTGAGCCATTAAAAATGCGCTGATTGTATGTGATTTTAACGACAGTAGGAATGAAATGACGCTTAGTTAGTCGTGGTTGGAAATCTTTTAGTTAATAACCTAAGTAATCATATTGCTTGAAAATGAGATTGGTAGAGGCCGACGAATATTCCACTTGTATAACCTGAAATGCTTGTTCAATTTGTAAGTTATAATTAAAAAAACGTAATCAAAAAAGGTGTCTAAAATATTTTTAAATTAATAGAAAAACAACGATGCAACAAGCTCAGTATCTAGATAAATAGTGTCACGACGAATTAAACTGTATTGGCTACGTTCCACAATTTTTTTTAATTAATATGTTATCATAATGTACGGTGTAGTACTATGACTCAGAAACCTTGCCAATTAAAAAATCTCGTTTCTTAAATAAGCAGTATTATAAACGTATGTAAATAGTAAAGTATACTCCAATATTATGAAGAAGAACAGTTGATAACTGTTACCTTGAAAACCGTTCTACTGTTTAACGTATTGTGTAATGAACACAGTTGTATGAATATGTAATGAACACAGCACAAAAGTATGCACAGTCGACAAAACTTGAAAAGGAAGGAGCTCCGGGAACATTGTGGAAAATAATTGCGAAGGATAAATCACACTATTTCACTCTATTTTTGTATCAACAGACATCCGTACCAAACTCCAAAGTTATATCCTTCCACAGTTTCTGCGAAATGGGCTTCGATCATGATGTTCCCTTTCCATCGGGGAACCCGCACAACACAGTCGCACAGTTTTCAGGAGATTCCGAACGTTTGGAAGGTGTGGAGCCACTTGTCTAACTATTAAAAAAAAAAACGTTTTTTGCACTTCGCCTAAACAGTGTTTAGGAATAAGGTTACTTTTACATGTTTACAACTCTGTTGCCCATCATAGAAAGTCTTTGCAGAATAGTGACAATATTGTATTAAATTAATATAATGTTTATGAACGTTTTGCACCTCACTTTGTCATGTAAATAAGATCCACGTGCGGATCCATCAGCCGGTGCGTGTTCACAATTTTCTCTTTTCGGTTACGCCAAAAATTGTTCGTCTGACAAGTGATTAATTGTCAGGTCGTTGTTGAAAAAAATATAATGCAATTTCGGGCAATAGATCGATATAGATATTAACTTAATAAACTGTACGCATAGCATATGGCCGATTGAACAAGCTTTACCTGAACACAAGTGTTTACTATAGCACGGGTTATCAGGTAATTATATTTTTGTGTTAACAATGAAAGAACGAAAAAAAGTCATCGCTTCCGCTTTGAGGTTGCCTGCAGATGATCCATATAATGCAAGTATTGGTGAGTATTTATGTTTTGATTTGTTTAACGATTAATTTTGTTAATTAAATTAATAAATACTATGTATCTATAGTCGCACCTCTAGTTAAAGAGAAATGAAACTATTTCAGAGATTTCTTAATAAATAATAGTATTTTACTGCAGCACATTACTATTATTTCTCCACATTGGAGATAGTTTAGAACAGTACAGAAATAGATGTCCAAAACTCCATAAAAAGATATCCCTTTCCAATAATCATAATTAAATAGTTGTCAATCATTCCATTTCACACTGTCTTTATTTTCGTCGCCAGTTTGTGTTAATATTTCGTTAGATTGTTGATTAACTTAAATGTATGCGACAGCCACAATGCACAGCTTTAGTAACAAATAATCCAAGTCAATTTACGTTGGAGGAACTCGAATATTATTAGAGTCCATTACGATGTTCAACATCCTTAACTGTATTTAGAAACAAACGACGCTTAGAAGTTATATTACCGGGTTATTTTGTGAGAGATATATGTGTGCCAAATCATATAGCCATATTAACATGGCAATATATTGCACGGTCGATGTAGTTGTTTTTTTTTGTAATTTTTACCTCTGTCTATATTTCAGGTGTTCAACATGAAGCTTTTTTTTCGTGCGAGAGAATTTCACAACAGGTGGCAACTTTGCAGAACGTAAGTGTACGCTATTGTATGGGTAACATATTCATTGATGTTGACCATTTGAATCGGAGGTCTTCTCCATCAGCTGCCTGATCAGTCTATCAGGTTTGATCACCCTTGCCAGTTTTTCGCTTATCTCCAGTTTCGCAAAGGCTTTCAAGTTTATATTTTATTTTGTCGTTGATCTTTTAAAAGTCACATTTTTTGCACGTTTATTAATTTACCTAGTTCAGTTAGAGTTTTATATTGAAAAAAAATTAGCATTAATGTCTACTTGTTAATGAGTGCCGATAATAGAATAACTTTTCATCAAGTATATGGATTCTTTTAGAGAAGTCAATGAATGTGTAGTCAAAGTATGCTTGAAAATAGTCACACACGCTAACTGTGAGTTTTAAAATATATTTTCGCAACCGGCGCTGAAAGTATCAATTGATCTCATTAAATAATTCGTGTTGACACATTGACAAATTTTTTTTAGATATTGAGGAACAAGTCCGAACTGCCTAGCAATGTTCTTTTGCCATTTCTGAGCACAGTCTACTTGGCCGCCGACCCGCCGCAAGCCGCTGCACTACGGAGAATTTGTTACGGGTAAAACGTCTTCCCTCAATGCTTATTACACATTGGTTTCTTCTACTGGCTTGGCCCCAAGGGAGTAAGCCTATACGTACTTCTACACACTAATGCACACTCGTGCAAGGCTCGTAACTATCCACAATAATTTCATTATATCATATATTATTATAATTAGCGATGCAAAAAACAACAGCCTTTGTTACGTAGAGGCCAAGTGGCAACTCCGGAGATTAAGCAAGAAAATCTGTACGTAACATTTATACGAGCGTTTACGTATGTTTCTATGCCTATCTCTATTGTTCCTGATCGTTACTTATAACATAAACTGATTACATTTAGTTGCATAAAGCTAAAGCGTATTTTGGCCAAATATCATTTTGATAGTTTCGAATCGGGCTGGAGTAATTCGCTTTAAATTTAAGCGTTACAATAATCCTTTTTTGCGTTTTCCGCCTTTTTCCGTTTCCGCGGTCTGTTCATATTCGTTGGTTGCGATTTTAGAGCGCTTCGCGAATTTCCGCTCATCGACGTCTCCTCAGCACTTCACAATCGGCTAATGGTGCTCATGGAACGTGCCGGTACAGCCCAAGACGTGAATCCCTGCAGTCAGCTCGACGAGTTATCGCTCTTAGCTGTATGGCATCCCCATGGACTGCAGACGCTGCGTATTGACCTATCCCGCGTGCTCATTTATCTGGCCGCCGCTTTGAAATATATAAAAATGTATGAAAAATTTCTTCGCTATTACAATATTTGCTCAAATTATGCGTCCTATTGCTAAGTATGTGCTTAATCGCGGATACAAAATAATCAAATACGACATTGCATATTGCGTACAGTTACTGAAAAAAGCGTAAATAGTATCCGAAATGTTTATGTAGTGTTTCTAAGAAGCGGTCGTGAATGCTTCTACATTCTCGGTTTCTTATAGTTTATCTGCTCCATACTACACTTAACGGGAACCGATACGTCAGTTTTTACTCAAACTGAACTCTGAATTCAAAATCAAGTGAGAAACGGCCTGCTCCAATGACAGCATTAATTAATGCATGATCTTTTGTCTGTCGTCGTTTAGTCTATCGCGACGTGGAAGCCAAGAGCGCGAGCGCGGATTTAATTATGCCTCTAAAGTAGCTCGATGCGCAGCGGCCCTGTCCAAAGGGGGTGTTTCAAACGAGAAAGATAGAGATGTCTTGCGTCAGATTTGTACAGGAATTAAGGAGCTTCTTATTGACGGTGAGCGTTTTTGCATTCTCCCCTATTGTCATTTCATTTTTCCTTACTAAGTCATTTTTCACACACAAATAGCTCAATATTACCCATTATCTTTGCTAAACACTGGGATGAGACCATAACTTCTCACAATGCGTACTGTTGAATGTCTAGATAATTTACGGTACTTCTGAACATAGATATTAGTAAACGTCAGAAGCACTCGCCTACCCAAACACGTTTCAAACGTTTAAAGGCAACTATATTTTCATTTGGTGACCTAGTATGTGCGCTTGTGTTGGAATTTTAAACAGAATCTACTATGTTGTCCTGTCGCCTAGCTTGTGGAGTTAGCCTTCCTGAATTGATTAGAGCCACCAGTTCTTCAGAAGATTCCAGTGGCGAACCTCGTGAGGTGTATGTTGCTCATAGTGATGAGCTACTGGCAGTTCCCTTAGCACATGTGTGTTTCATCTCTGGAATGATCAATATTACGCCAATTGATAACGTAAATGACTTGAGAATTTACGAAGAGCTGCTTTCCGACCTGGATCGCCTTGGAAACCGCCAAGGTAACACTTCTGCTCAAAGCTGAACAGATGCTGACGAACGTGCTCCTTGTTTATGCTACCAAACTGCGTCTAGCTTAAAAAAGAAATATTTTTTCAGCTGCCCAACATTTCCAAAGTAGATAATAGCTAAGTCAACCAACATTTACCGTGCGGATTTTTGTAACGCGTTGAAGTGTCAAACGGCTGGAAATATCTAGTTGATCAAGTATATGGAACATATCCCATGACTTATAATTAGGTGTATAAATAGCGGTAATAGATAGTCACGCTATAAGCTATTTTAATTTCATTGAACCTAAACGGCTGCATCTTTGCCTGTATTTGCTGTATCACACAGAGTTACAACAAGAGGCTCCATTTGCGCTGACTTGTGTACGCACAGTTTTACAGTGGACTGAGAAGCTCTGTAAAGATGGCAGGGGTTCTTCACGGGAAGTGTTCGAGCGGCGATTCGAGGACTTACTGAGAATTGCTTTTTCAAATATTGAGCACTTCGTGGACGTAAGCTATATCTTTAGTCGTTTTGAAAAAAAGGCGTTGTTAGGCGAGGTTAAGACCTTCTTAATTATTATACCATATAATTTTCAACAGGCTCAAAAAGGGCACAAATATCATTCATAAGAATGGTTTACTTTAGAGTCTGCCTCTTGATTTGCACAAAGCTGAAAATTATGGTATTTCTAAGAAATAATAAAAATAGCAGTGAAATATTCATAGGCGCAATACAAATCTCTTAAATAATGTGGATTACTTCATTTCCATATTCATAATTATAACTTAGATTCGTAAGTCTTAACCTCGGTTACCTCAATAGTGGAATACGGCAGAATGGATTATTTATATTGGCCAAATTGGGCGGATGATTTTAAGCACCAACTACGACTTACCATTTCATCATCGTGCACGTCTACATTTCCTGATTCACATTCAAAAGTCCTAAGTCCTACTGTGCAACTTGCAGGCCGTGCAGCATCAGGGAAAAGCGTTATTCAAAGTAACCGTAGAGAATATGGTGAAAAATCCTGATCCGAAGCATATAGAGTCGCTAAAAAGAACATTCATTCAACTCCTCAGTGAACCGCATTACAGAAAAGCGAAATATGCTCCCTTACAAATAATCGCAAAGCATATCAAGGTATGTACTTGTTCATAATAAAAACATCCTACTGCAACTCTTCGGGCGGACAACATTGAACCTTTTTGAATTCTGCATGTATGAGTTAGATTTAGCTGCGTATCACCAAAAGGCACTAACTGTAACATAGTACACTCTACTTCGGACTTACTGCGATACCCACAACTTAATTACTGAATATGCTATTATTGCTTGCTTGCTTTATGGCTACGTATAGACGATGGAATCATTGTGCGTTAAAAAAAAAAACAGCTCGAGCTTCAAATGATACATTTGGTGTTGATTTAGTTGTCCTGCTGAAAAAACTTACCTATTAGCTAAGAACATAGCTATTAAAGTAGTTACCCTACAAAATAATTTGTTTTAGGTTCACAATATAATCAATGCAACAGCCGTACTAGAAGTGTACCAGACCCTGCAGGAGAAAAATATGCTACCTTACGTGGAAGACTTTATTCGGGATGTGGGCGGTAAATGTTTGTTAGAAGATCCTCAAAGGTGAGTCTTACCTTTCTGAACAAGTGGTTAGATTCAGGTCGCCTTATATCTGGAACTAGGCTCAAACAGGAGCAAATGGGCAGCGGCACAATCATTGCAAACGATGATACGAAGACACTTCCAATGCAGCTCCTATATGTAGCTGCTGTATGCAAATTGTTTTTCAAATCACTTTTCGAATAAAAGCTATTGATATGACCACCATACTTGTAGTTAATAGTTTTAGAAGTATTTGACCCGGCCCCTGTAAATAGCCTCAATGCCGTCGCTACTTTCTAATGTATATATACCTTCATACAGCTGGAATGCTGTTTGGGTGGAACCGTTTTTCACCATTTTCGACAGTAACCAATGTTCCGCAACGGTCAAGAACCTTTTACCGGGACTTCTTCGACTTCAACCGGCTCTAGCTGACGAGATTCTTTCTCGTAGCAATAATCAGCGCTACCTGCTATTGGCCCTCGAGGCACTTTCTCCAGATAAACTGTTCGAATGTCCACGGAACCTCGAGAATGCGCAGTGGCCAACGGATGAAAGGTCTCATTATGTCGCGCATTCTCTATAGATATATTTTATCACTAGGCCGTTGCTCAGAAGAACACAGTGATTTAGTTAACGAATAGGAGTAAAATTATATTGATAATATGTTGTGTGAAAATGTCGTTTTCTAGTACATTTGTTCGGGCTTTTGTTAACGCACGCGTATGTATCTTAGAGATATGCCCTATAATGTCCTAGTAAAGTCGATTGCTCTACTGAATGCATCCACCTCTTTAAGCTAAATTTCAGATTTCTCTGTTAAAATTTACTATCGTTTATTGCTCGGTTTTCATCAATCAACAAGTCTTATTCAATTTCACATTTACAGCGTGCGCCATAGCCTTCTTCGACTGTTGACGGAATGCCCTAAGTCTTGTGAACCCATCGATCCGAGGGCAATCCCACATCTCAAAACCTTCCTTGAGTTGAATATATCAACTCAGAGTCAAGCTCTCCGTCAAGCAATGTTTTCGTCTTTTAAGAAGCTTTTACAACGTGCCGCGGACAGTAATATATATTGGCGAAAACCTGGAAAGAAACACGAAGTTTATGGAGAAAAAGGCATCGAAGATGTACTGAGGCAAGAGGGTTGGATCAACCGCAATTTCATATATCTAGAGATTATATATAGAGACCAAGATAAACATTTAACTTTGGCCCTTTTACGTTTTATTCTACGTATAGGCAAGGAGAGGAGCTGGTCACCCATTTTTGGCTTTTCTGCCTCTCTCAACTTCATCCTGGTTGTAGCTTTTTCACTCGTTCGACGGCCCTGATGCTGCTGGAATTAATGGCCCCACTTGCACGGAACGATCAATGGACTCAGACGAAGGCACATACGCTACTCTACTGGCTTAAGGTAAGGCCGTAAAAACAATCCTAATCTTGCTTGAAATTCGGACGAGTTAAAATCATTAATATACAAAAAATACTATGCTTAGGACTCCTTGGAAATATATAATTTATAAATAACTTTATGACTCTATGGTGCATATTTGAGCACAGCTTTATAGTAAAGTCGACTAATTCAAAGGCAACAAGATGTTCCATTTTAAAGTGATGTGCAATTGTACTCTCACTGCTGTTGAGTATAGCCTTAACTCAGATGTTATTCACTATCGGCGACCTATATATATATATATATATAAGTTCCAAAAAATGTTATATGCTGAAATATAGCATAACTTTTGACGACTTGCTAAAGCCGCTGGAACTCATCATTTATGCCATATTTTCACCAAAATTCGATTGCCAATAAAAAATGTAATACTTAGTTGTGATAGGTTACGGACACAAGCTTTTGAATCTTTTTACGTAAAACAATTGAAAAACAACTCGGTCAGGTCCATCTCACACCGCCACTTGAAATTTAATAAATTGATGTACATAATTAAGCTAAGTTAAATCAATAGGCTATCAGAAAGCTCTTGTTGTGTTCTGTTTTCTACTGCGAAGTCTAATCATTGTCATTTAATTAATTTGCTTTATTAACTTACCAGGACACTTATGAGAGAAATAAGACAGCTGTGGTACACATTCTCCTTACGGGACCACGGCACCTTTTGCCTTTCGCGAATTCTGAAAAGGTACTTAACGAGTGGCTTGAACATAGCGTTATATTAACGCGGTCCGCAAGGCCCCCGGACGGAGTTACAGCTTCATACATACTTCGCGTACTTGCCAAGACAAGTAGGGAACAGATAATACAAGGAAGTACTGCTTCCCCTGAAGATCAAGTATTCTTGCGGTTATTTGCGGCAATTCTACCCGAACTTCGCAATCAAGTTCAAGTAGCACTGAATCAAGGTGAGCTCTTAACGTTGTACTTGCACGATTTGCATATCAATGAATTGATGAAATCCACTATTATTATTATTATTATGTATTGAATAAGAAAAATCACACACATTATACACACACACCCACACACACAGATTTATTTAGATACGTTTATTCATATATTTACATATATATTTAGATACATACATGTATATAAATTGCTGCATAAAAAACAAGTGAGGCGACTAAACTAATTATTGCGATTGATGGAAACCGCTGGATGCCATAAATAGTCACGCAGCTTATTCAGTGCCTTCCCTCGGCATCATTTTGGTCACCAGTTTAACTCACTTCATATATACTTGGTTTAGATGACTTTTCAATGATTCTTTCATAAGTTCCGCTATATTCATGGTATATTTTCAGGGCTTTTGGAGGCATCATCGTCTGCTCCGATGTACAGTGCTCTACTCTGTGTGCGCACTTTGTTCAATGAGGCATTTTCTTGTTCTCTGAATCTAGCGCACATTGAGGAGTATCGAGTGATCCTCCAGGAAATTCTAGATCTTTCGTATAAAATAACTTCTGTGGCATCACCGCTGGTCACCCATCCAAGCCCTGAGGGTCGTGTTGATTTCAACGAACACCCCGAGATCGTCGAGCAATTTAAGGCTGCTCTCAATAGAGGATTTGGAAAACGACTTCGTGAGTGCACAAACTCATTTATAAAGAAAAGCTATAAAATACTGTAAATAGTTATTTTTTTCATGTGAAAGGCTATACTTAAGACTACAAGGCGGGGCGTTTCCAGTGGAACCAATTACATCTAATATCATTTCGTTTTCCTCGCAACGCAGGGAAATTGTTTGTTTTATCATGCCCTAGTAACCAGTGACTTTTCACAAAATAATTATGTAAGTAGTAGAAGATTAATAAACTGAAAAAAAATAATGATACAAAGTGAAACAGTAATTGATATAGTAGGCTGCAGTTTAGAAATTAGATTTTTTGTTTACCTTATATAGCGTAGGCTGTCTCCGGCTTACCTTATTTGTTTTTTTCCTTGTGCCACAGATAATGCGGATGCGGTGAAGACATGGGCAGTGGCTGCACAGATGATGCTGCTTTGCAGTTGGAGGTCGCATCGTGAAATCTCTCTTTGCTTTGGCGATATTGCCTCACACCTGGGAAAAGTTACCGCTTTAAAAATTCTACCCGAAGAGGAATTCGTAAAGATGGGAGTCTATTTTATGAACGGTCAGTTTTTTCTTCAGTGATTAGATATCAGCGAAATAAGTCATATTTATAATGTTTTACAAACATACAATTGGATTGTATGAACTTAATGAATGAAAGTATGAACTTAATATTAAAAAAATTTTAGCGTTAAGGGAGAATTTTTTGCGAAGGCACTGCAACCGATGACGACGCATGGTAACTGAATCACGTTCCACTATAAGTACACGTAGCACCTGACAAATCAAGATTACGAATTTTATATAGGGCGTAGTGGAAGTGATGTTTGTAGAACTCGTAACTATGTGTTGGTTAGTCCTATTCGCCCTTGTAGAGTCTCTTGGTTGTCAGAGCAACTTTATTAAAAAAAGTTCCGATTCGTCTTCACCACCCCCCACGTGAATGCGCAAATGAACTTCAAATAGGCAAAGGTAGCGGGAAATTTGAATCGGCATCTCAGCTCATTTAGAAATAGCGGTGTGTATCTTCCACATATCTTTTCAACCATGAGCGCGTTTTGGAAACGTTTGTTTCGGTCGAGTTTCTTTCATTGATCCGTCGAGGGATACTTCCACACTAGCTGGAGTCCGTAGGGAGGTCTTGGAACCGTCTTAGTTTCGAATTAAATCAGCGATATTTGTAAGAAAAGTGTCAAGAGTATGTTTCTACTTACGCACATATCAACGGAATATGAACGAAATAACATATAAAGATGACTCACAATACAGATTTGGATCCGAACGAGGTATAACAGAAGGTGTGAGACATTTGAACCGAGCTCTGGACCATTATGTTCACTAATCGAAAAGCTCTCCTTAAGCATAATTTTGAAGGGTTTAGGGGAAAAAGCATTGTTTACTTCATTCATGTAATAATTTATTTGTCGTATCCTTTCTAGAGTTGTGTCGTGTACGACATCGCGGTGCTTTTGAGCAGGCATCGATGGGTTTTTCGCGATTATGTTACTCTTTATGGCGACATCCAGACGAACGGCTTCGGCGTCTTCCTGAAGAATGGCTTGATGAGCTAATGTCCCGTGTAGCCAGTGGAGAAGTTTCAGCTACGAGACGTAGCGCAGGATTGCCCTTCATCGTGCAGGTAAGTTTTAACGTATTTACAGTAGAGTATTCCAAACTGATAATGCGCAGCAGAATATTTATAATCAGTAGTCGTTTCGCAAAGCAACGTAATGTTGGCCGTCGTTACTCTACCAATTCTTCACTCGGTTCAGTTGCAGACGGGCATGCGAGACTACCCGCATCTTTTTTAAACATCCAACTTCGCTAACCAAATCTTCATTGCCATTGAGCATCAGCCTTTACACAATCACGTATCAATAAAGCAAACCGGTTCATATAGTACGTCGCTACTGTCAATTATTTGTGTGCATCATTTTCTAGCTAGCTGTTTTTGCGATTCCAGTCTATTGTGGTCACGGAGCCTGAAGTTAACGCCAATGGCGGATTGAGACGTGCTATGACAGGACTGCTACCCTTGGCAGCTGGCGAAGACGAGAAAGCTCGGGTCCACGCACTCAACGTTCTTCGGGCGCTCTACAGGTAACATTGATTGTAGCAGTTGAAATAACGCTGAGCTAACCTCTCATAACCTATAATTGAAAGATATAGAAGTGGCCATCTCAAAAAACATTATTTACATTGTAGATTAGTTAATTTAAATTGGGTTTAGCTGCTGCCATTGTTCATATAAACGAAATCGCAATTTCCGATATCCATACATAAGATTGGATCCATTTAGAAGAAGATATAGCTACGTATGACACTAATTACATGCAGCTGAGTTATCGTTAATATATTGGAATATTCGCTGTTTGATTTCCAGAGATACCCAGTTGGGAGAAAGCGTCATGGGTTACGTGAGCTCCGGACTATGTTCAGCTTTGCGAGGTTTCTCTCATCCCGCGTGGCATGTTCGCAACGCGAGCACTCTGCTTTTCTCGTCGTTAATGACGAGAATCTTTGGAGTAAACAGATCACGCCAAGATATCGAGCGTAAAAATTGCCTTACCGGAAATGTTTTTTTTCAGCGTTTCCCAGAGCTTTTACCGTTTCTTCTTGAAAGAATTGCTGAACTTCTAAAGCATATGTAAGTAGGCTTTTTATTTTTCTGTAAATAAAATGTTCAGAGCACCAGTGGTAGAGTAAAAAGTTTTAGATGCATGTTAAAACCAACCCCGATAGAACTGCACAGTATTAAATTAAAGAACCTTGTTTCCATTGTTGATATTGCTATATTTATTGCCATTTGTTCGCTTTATGTTTTAGCGAGGGCCACACGGGTCTGTATCCCATTCTACTCCTGTTAGAAAGGCTTATACCGTCGCTAACAGACTCCAAGTTAGGCGCCTTTATGCCTCTTCTAGATGTCTGCGCGGGTTCTTCGCTTCATGGCATCCGTGTCGCCAGCTCGAAGGCTTATGCCTCGTTGCTTCCGGCTGAGTCCCGTCTGCAGGTTCTGATACAAAAAATGCGGATGCTGGCAGCCGGCGAAGGAAAAATTGGTGAAAACCGGCTTCACGGAACCCTGCTGCAGGTTGGTACAATTTGATTTTTTCTAGATTTCATAAAGTTTTTCGTAAATTTTAGGCGAAACTTTAAATTTATTTTTGCAATAATAAAAAGGCCTTGTGCTTATCTGGAAGTAACACTAACGCACTTTGATTAAATTCATCAAATACATCCTGGCTCAATTTTTTGTGATTTATACTTATTTGTTTGCGATGTTTGAGATTTCTCGTTGATTATTCCGTAATTTGTATGCACTGGCTAGATTCGCGCGGTGCTTACAATGTCGGAAATGTCGAGCGAACTGACGCAGGCCTTGAGCGGCCCACTGATGGAAGGTGCATGGATCGCGGCCCCTCATTATGGCCTTGCAGCTGCCGAATACATACGTTTACTGACATCTTGCAGCTCAAATGTCGATAAGGTATATATTTTATACATTTTTTTATTTCGCTATAATATGTTGTTGTTCACATACGTTTTTTACAAAACACGTTTGATCCAACGCGCACGAAATGCATTCAGTCTTCTGTCACTGGTCTGCAGGCAGTATAATTTTCTTTCCCTTGCGCAACGCCACAGTTTTGACGTGCAAAACAATGCATGTCATTTAGGAATCCAAGCACAGTTAGGATCTGACACGCACGTCAGCGTACACTTTGAAGAATCATATAGCACACACGACTTGAATTGGCTTTTAAGATACACACGATTACGCAACATGGTCTTTCAGGTATTAGAAATTGTTCCTAAGGCGGACCTCATCATTCCGGGCGGTGACCAGTTTCAAGCCGCCCTCATAAAGTACAAGCTAACATGCGGGTAAGTAATGTGCCAAGTCACTTGGTTAAAGTAAAATCATGCAGGGTACAAAAATGTCTTATATAGTGTTCAAAGCTAATATAAATCTTTAAGAACGCATTTGACAAATTAGCGCAAAGTAGTTGCGAAACACCATTATATATTTCTAGTATGATGCTTACTGACACGATAAGGGTACGATATCGACATATCGTTGTGCGGGAACGTAAACTTTGGTAACTTGGATGAAAATAGAGAAATTTACATGGCACACACACTCATCATAAAATGGATAACTCTAAGGACCAGTAGAAACTCTTCTCGCAAGTGACTCAATTGCCATCTTCTGTGACACAACTGCAATTTTTCATATGGCTGAATAGAGTGCCGGTTGACGCTCGTACTGACAGCGAAAAAGCGGCCGCCTTTGAATTTTGTTTGGAACATGGTTCTGTATCGTCCGCCATCGAACTTATGAATCAAGTTATTCAGTCCCCTGACAAAGAACATCCCGATGTTCAGCGAATGGTACGTTAAGCTGGTTTCTCCCGTGTATAATTACCTTTTGAATCATTTGATTTAATATTAGTGGATCAAATAAAAAATCTAATATCCGTAGTTCAATGCAAGCGAAGTCCATGTACTTATGTTTTTCCTTTTGACAGGCATACGAGCTGGCTACATTGAATGCGGGTAAGCTTGATAGGTTGGAAACTCGTGTGCTCATATTGCTTGATCGACTTTCTGTATTGACTCACCCTTCCGTAGCTGTGGCCTTGTTTGGGCTTGTAAGCGCATTTGTGCCTCGTCTCAAAGGTAATTTTTTGCGTGGGGTCATAGACGCGTTACGCAAGTACTCAGCCCCTAATCAAGATCCGGACATGAGACGGGTTGCCGCGGATCTCGCTTACAACCTGCTTAAAGCTCATGGTGAGGAAGTGTTCGTGAGAAACGCCGCGAGTCACATATGCTTAACCCAGGCTCTTGTTAACCTCGTATTGGACAACGACGTCTACATAAGAGACCGTATCATCGATGGTGTGGCGACGATCAATGCGGATTTATTATGTCGGCTAACCCCCCTAGAAGCTGTACTAGCTATATGTTCAAAGACAACAGCTAATCCTCAGGCATTTGGCCAATTCCTTGTCGAGCTCGCCTCAGTAGATGATGACAGAATACCTGCCTTGGACAACTCTCAAGATCAGGACTCAATAGACGGAAACATTGATGAACAACCATTTGAAAAAGGTGAACTAAATACATTCTATGATACGCTTGTCATCGCAGAGTCATGTCGACGGACACTTGAAGAACTTCGGCCTCGATTAGTAGGAGATCTCAATATGCCAACACTGACGCCAGAACAGAGCGCCACTATTGATAAACTAGAGACGCAGGTCCTTCAAACAACCGATTACGAACTTGCAAGTAACCGGCAACTGGACCGCGGGCTGGTGTTACTCGGACAGAAGCTCACGGCACAATCTATGGTTGTGGGCAGATTACAGATTTGTGAAAGGCCTTTGATAAATAATATGTATTTTTCTCGTTTTGCTAAATTCAACAATTGCACTGATTGCACGTAGAATGATTGTTACCTTGTGCTTGTACATAATATGATAATATTTTGGTGAGGTGATCCTTTTCAAGTGTATAATTGTCAATTTTTTCTCAAAGAAAATATATATCAAGTAGTTCTATTATTAACTATTAATTGAGCACAGGCTTAGTACATTGTTAGAGTAGGCACTCGTATTCTTGTGAAGCATTAAACAGCAACGTGCGAAAATAATGTCTAGGCTTGGATCTAGGTTATGTTATAAAAAAGGTAAAATATAAATAAGAATAATAGCAAAGAAAAATTGAAGAGATTTAGTTTAAGAACGAACACGTTCTCTGGTCATCATAAAAGTAGCGAAATATTTGGCCTCTCACGTTAACTCGGTTTGGCTGTAATCGAAAGGAACTGTTACCTATATTACAGCTACGAGTAAAACAATCAGGTAGCATTATACGCCATTATTTAGATGTCGAAATCAGTGCGGGGCCCGGCAGCCAATAGATGTTAGTCGTTATGCAATCGTTAACCTAATCGAATGTACAAAAGTCAGCCTTATCAATATATCCGCGTTACAGGATAGGTATATACATATATGTACAATTATATTGTAGTGCTGTTTTATGTAGTGATATTTGTCTAATCCCACTACCTATGATTTAGCTATGACGGCATGTAAACATAGACTAGAACATATGTTTAAGTACTTTCGTCACGAAAACAACGTACTAGACACGTATGAGAACAATTAAAATAAAATCTATTCACTTGTGTCAGGAGCAAGCCAATCGGGACAATCTGTTGTTATGTGTCAATAAGTTCATTGTTATAAATGGATGAAAGGAGAGAATCGGCACGTCAGTAGGAAAAACAAAATACATTTCACTCGTTCGGTGACAATGTTACTATAGTCGTTTGTTTGTCATTTAACTGTACTGGCGCAATTTAGGGATTCTGTCATAATCATATTCTCACGATGTGATTTAGCGTGTTACTAATTACAAGCGTTATTAGTGGTAACTTTGCAAGATTTATCAAAGCTTGATATCAGTTCAGATGTTCAGTAATCTCTTAAATGCCTTGATATTAACTGGATAGATAATATGTTGAATAAGAAGGAATAAGATCTGATCTTACCTAATACTAGTGTTTAGCTGAGATATTATCTGAAGCGGTATGATAAAGCAATGGAACGTAAAATTAATCCAAACATTTACAAGGCTTAGTATAATGCTACCGATGTTTTAGAGGTTCAGATCTCATAATAACGCTTCCCATAAATTAATCCCGATAAATAAACAGCCAGTATAAACAAAGTGGTCTGCTACGTTTAATTTCAAGTATAAACTGTGTACAAATATGAACAGACTGGCGAGTTTTTAAGCTGTTTTGTGTAATTTTGCTTACATGCTATAACTGCGATATTAGTAAGTGGTATTAAATTGCCAGTCGACACTTGGAGCTATTGAGTAAAGACTGTCACCATAAATACCAGTTAATGTGCTACTTAATAGCAAATTTAATAAGGTAACGAATTTAGGCTTTTTGTGAATCAGCCAGAACGCACGCTTCCAGATAAACTACTTCGAGGATAGGCGATTTCGTTGTGTTTTATTTATTAGAATTCGCTAAACTGTGCAGTCAATTACGAAAAGCAGAGTTTCTTATGAGCAAACAGCCACATAGTAAATGTTTCAAGTTTTACGTTCGGTACTGCACTCGAGAGCTCTCAGACAAGTAAATCGCATCAGTCAATTTTGTCTTTCGTTACACGTTACAAGGCTGTAACGCTTAGCGTGCCACAAAACACAACTCTTGTCGAGTGAGACGCCCAGCGCAAAAATCGTCTGCTATATCAGAGCTGTATGCGCAGTCTCGCTGAACCAAATAAACAACATACTCTTGTGACCACGTTCGATTCGGCATTAGGATTGTGAGGGCAGGACTCACTTGACCGCTAAAAAGACAGTGGACGGGCTCAGTTTCTGTGGCAATGTTTTGGTTTCATTGTTGACTCGTCGAATTTATCATAGCTTACAGTGATCGTTTCTGTTTCGTAAGTTTTTTTTTAACACTCTGTAGATTTCGATTTACGATCATATCAAGTTTTTGGTGCCACGTTACTATATGTCTAAAGTGTCTGACTGGAGAATAGACTGAGGTGTCTACCGCGGTGTACTAGTCCTATTGTTCGATCCTAATTGTCATCATCATCAAAGCGACGGGGAAATTCCACGTAGCGGGTGTGTATACGCATAGTAGTATATTTATATTAGGGTATCGCATCTAAAGATTCTACGTCGTCGGCAGTAATGGCATTGGTCGACATGTATTTATTGTGATTGTGGTAACCAGATTACGCGATATGGTAATATCGAAAGATCTTATCTGTACACAGCGTATAAATGTATACCAACGCGACTGGAATTCCTGAATATACAAGCTGTCTCAGATATGAAAATATCGAAATTTTAACAGTAAAGCAAAAATTGCACTGCTAAATCGATAATACACGATCCGAATATGAGTTCGATAGCTTGCAAGGTCGGATATCTGTAATCTATGTCAATGAATTCCTACCTATTTATAAGCAAAAATAGATTAGTTATTAATATATATCCCGTGATTCTCCACGAAGTATGTACATCTAGTCGAGTTTTAGCAGAGATAACGAGAACCGAACAACTTGAGTGTTTTGGAAGTGTTCAAAATGGTATTGAGCTCTTAGCCAAACAATAAAACCTTCGTTTCAAATTTTCGCTGATTCGGAGAGGCGTTACTGCAAGGAAATGAAACGTTTTAGTATTGGCATTTTCTTAAATTCTATCCAAAATAGTAACATCATTTTTTTTCTGCTGTTAGTATCTATGATACCTTTTTAATCTCTCCAAAGTTGGGGGTTGTTATTATTATTTTATAACATCATATTATGTATCGTCACTTATTCTTAGAGTTCATAAAAAAGCAAATATTCATAAACGATTCGTTTGAACTCTGTGAATCTTGCTAAGATAAAATTCAAATCTAATTCGTGTTTGCCTATTTAGTGTTTGCCAGTATTGATATCGATGGCTTACTCATTTTGCCTACAAAGATATAAAAAAGAACATGACAAGAAGTGAACCACAGATGAGCATTTATTTATACATATAATTTTTTACACAATGTTATCTATGTATCTACAACGTATAAATTTGAAAGTATGTAATGTAATAAAATTATATACCACAGTAAACCATACCATTAAAATGATATGGCTATGTTTTATGACAATATAATAGAATTGGGTATTTTAGTATGTATATGTATTATATGTATATTTCTAAATAATGTTATCAACGAGAACACGATTGATCGGCCCGGATTTGGGTTCGATGTTTTCAAAATCAATTTATGGTTAGATATATTGAAAAAAATTTATTCAAACAATAGGTGCAGAACACGCGAAAATTATTTAAGTTAACATTATCTTATCACAGATTTTATGTTTGTGCAGAAGCAGACCTATCTTTGGGCCGTTAGATGGGTACAAGTCATTACGCCCACACGATCTAGTTAAAAGCTGCATATTGACAATAAGACAATTATACGCGATGAGTATCTATAGCAACGTACTAAGCTAAATTGAAATCGTTGATAATATATTGTGCATCTTTATGCGCAATACACCCCAGGTAGACGATAAAGAAACTGATTCAATTAGGCTTTTACAGCTTAAATATAAAACTAAGGAACAAACAAAAAATACGTGTTTTCTTATGCACTCATATATATGAAATAAGTTAAAACTTGAAGTAGAAAGTAATTACAAATAAATTGCACCCATTGTCGTAGGTTAGAGTAATGGGCTTTTTGCAATGTAACTGAAATCATGAAACTCGTTCAACTAAACGATATATTTTCATATTCATTATCATATTATATTGTTCTAACTTGGACAATACTAATAAAAGGTCTTAACATTTTCTTTGATTTGCAGGAGACCCATTATTTATTCAAAAACACTTCGTCATGTCGTCATCCGAAATACTTGCTATTGGGTCCACTTCTGCTAGTCAAACGGATTCACATACAGCTTTCAAAGACCCTGGGTCCGGCGTGTCTTCAGCCGATGATAACCGCAAAGCAGAAGTAGTAGCTAATGAAGCAAGAAGACATTCTAAAGTCGATCATTTGTCACAGGCCCGCGAGCTACTAGAGAATCTTTGCAAAAAACACGTCGACCTAACAGACTACAGCAATTCTGCCGGACCGTCAAGCGGTGGCCTGAAAAGTAGTACCGATCTGACCAAGCTGCGAGATCAAATCTGGGAGCTGTTCTCCGCAGAAAAAACAGATATCGATTATCTTGAATCCGCCGCGTTTCGCAACAAGATCCGTCTCGTAGAGCAAGGCTGTGTGAAGCATCCAAAAAAGAAAAAATTCCATTTTAAGGAATTGGTTGACAGTATGGTCGTTAACCCGCCAAAGAGCGAGGTACGCGATGTACTAACTAGTGAGAAAATTCCATCACTTATATTTATTGGGTGCAATCGCTTATTCGATATGAGTATTGCACATACACAAAGCCTAACATCAAACATACTAGATGTATGTCGGTAGATTATGTGTGATTAGATTGCGTCTATATGCTAGTTCTGGTGCATATGATATTGATGAAAATATTTTTAAATCAGGTTTTTTACTATCTGTTTTTCTATCTGATTGTTTGATTGCAGGAACAACGTAAACTGATTCAGATCAACCGAAACCGCAAGGTAGCCAAGTCATCTGAAAAGCTAGTTGAGAAGCTGAGCGAGAAACTGACTGAAATCATAGCAAAGATCAACAACGTCGAGCAAGAAAACGGATTCGAAGAGGACGAGGAAGATGCGGACGTTGAAATGGAATGTAATTATGTCTATCTCGATAGACTGAAACGGCGTGCTATAATTCTGTACAACAAAATCCAAGAGGTATGTATAATAGATACGCAATGGATAAACAAATAAACAGTTGTCAGCCTAAAATGATAACATATGTGTTGTAAGTAAGTACGCTAAGACTAGAAACCCCCACGCGGTCTTAGACAACGATGTCTCTCTTTGTATGTTGAAAACCCGAACGGGTTTCTTGGCCCATCTCTGGCCCATCCGGCAAACTAGCACATTGGATAAAACCTAAAGAATTCAAGCTTAAGAAGTAGTATCTGTTTCAATCCTCATTTTCAGCTTGAATGTAACCCAACGACAACAATGCGAGAAAGCCAACGACCAATCACCGTTCGTTGTAGCACCTGTCCTGAGGTGAATCGAGCCGCCGGAAAGATGGCAACTCGGTGCATCCGCAGGGAACTCACGCCGGATTTTACTGATGTTCTTGCTATCGTTCGCCGTGTCAACGAAAAAGCGAATCTTGGTATGAGTGACGATCGTCAAAGGTGAGAATGATGCCGTGTTTAATCAATGGTTTTGATATTATATCATGTTGTATACAGGATATATTGTTATAAAAGCCTTAAGTTATAAACATGTATATTTAACGAGGGTGTGCTTGATACTCTGTCAGTGTTCTGGGACTTAGGAGCGTGGAAAAATTATGAAGGATATATTGTATGTAATAATGCGAAGGATTGTACAAAATCCGTATTATTTATAATAACAGGTAGATGTCAGTTTATAGTGAGCGGAACCTTAGTCAGTTAGTGATTACACACAAGCGCTGACTTCTACAATGCACTTGGCTGTGAACAATGAAGTACTTTTTCTACAGCGTTGGTGATAAAAAAAATTTATGTGATATTATTTCATGAATGACAAGTCAAGCGATACTATAAAAATCAACTTTATGAAGTAGCGCAAGTAGAAAGACGAAAGGGATGCAAGCAAAAAGACAGTAAAAACAATAGAGGATGGAATTATCCGCTTCGTTCTGTGTGCTGTATGTGCTATGAAGATATCCTGAGGATAGCCATATTATTTATATAGAAAAAAAATAATGAATGGCATTAAAAAAATGTAAATAAGAAACCATTTTTCTTTCTCTTGGCGCGGTTTTGATACACCATAGCATGCTGTGCCTGTCAGAATGGTATCTTTTGCCAATTCACTTCATGTTCGAGCCAAAAATCACCTATTATTCTACATAATCCAATCATATAATTTTGTTGTATCACACGATATTTTGTTAATCAACAGGTCAGTTGCTCAGGAGGTGTTCAAGGAGATTGTCGAAGAGATAAAGAGACGCCGAATCATAGAAACACGCTTGAATATGGAATCGCTAGAAATAGAGTTCGGACAACAGGTGAGTTTTTCAATTTTATTCTGTTTATCAGAAGTATAATAGCTACTTCATTCACCTCAACTGTACCCTATTGTAGGGTGTTTATATGGTTGTATATTCATTTGTTGTTCGATTGTAAACATAATGAATGCTCTCTTATTCATAAAACAGGGCTTATACTACATAGTAAGTATAATGAATCTGTGTTGTTGTAACGTATCGACATTTTTTGCTTTTATAACAAATATAATTTTGTGTTTCTGTGTATGTTCTAATAGCTAACTAAGCGCGATCTTGGTGTTTCAGGATGAAAGCGATCCGGCTGAAAATGATCCTGAACTTAATGCGCGCCTAAGGGCAAGTGAAGTTGAAGGTCGCGAGCGAATAGCGGCTGTTATTAATGAGTTCGCGGACAGGCAGGCCAGTGGCGCTGACGGCAGGAACGACCTACCACCATCATCTGACAGTGTCACTGCAAGGTCGAAAACACCAAAAGGTATTTTCCAACTGTAGCAATTGAGAAGAAGTAATTCACTGACTAGTGTATTATACTTATTCAATACTCAACTAATACTCAATAACGTATGTGTATATATATGTGACACTTTCTTAGATGTGGCACTTTTGTCAAATCTTTTCTGTGATAGGTAGTAATTCTTTAGTCGTAAATATGAAGAAGGGGTATTGCACGAAGTGCTTCGAGTTTTTCGGGGAGCATTTGAATTTTTTTCGAGTGCTATAAAATCTGTTTGACGTTTGAATAACTTCCTATTTTGGTCGTTTGTGGTGGTGTTTTACATTCGGGCTACGTAGAGATGAATAATCAATGTTCCGGGCAGATTTGGCAATGGATAAAAACTGGAGGGATAGAATAGTTAATAGGCCTGAAGTTAGTCCGCTCGCAGTGTTTAATAAACAAGCTAACGTACATTGCTTCCTAAATAATTGTAGCATATACAATATTTTATAACAGATTACGACCGAGAAAAGGAAATCTACACCTCCAATTGTAATTTACCTGTAATAACCAAAAATAAGAAATTATGTCGAGCCATGTGTTTTCTAAAAAAACATCAATAGTTAACTAAAACACTATGGACGCCTACTTATACTAACAATTTCTTCCTATGGTAAATAGTTGCAGGCTCAGACTCACCAAAATGGTATTATGGTAGCGGAGAGCCCAATGCGGGTAGGAAATCGCTTTCAAAGGGCGCTGCAAAACCATCTTCTAGCCTCCAGTCATTCGATAGAGCTAGACAAGATGAGTCTGAGCATGATGAAGCTGAGGAGAATGACGACCTTTCGTCCGAAGTCGACGAGTCCTATCTTAACTCCGATGAAGAGTCTGAGGACGACAGAGACAGGACTGGTATCGAAAACTTCGGAGGAGCTAAAATAGCTCAGGACGAGATTATAGTAGATAGTGATCATGATAAAGGCAAAGAAGATGAGCGTGAACTGGGTCAAATGGCGTTAGAAGATGTCGGTCACAAAGATGACTCCCCGACTACGAGTAATAGAAGCGGTATCTCGCCCGCGGCTACGGGTTGTCAGAAGGAAGATATCGAAGCACGCTCAGCATCAAAGAGAAGCCAATCGGGAGAAGAGAAGTATTCAAATGGCTCAGCTAGAACCGTCAGCGAAGCCAGCAAGGCGGATAGTAAAACCGATGAGCGTAATAGCAGTACTAACAGCAGTGGTGCTAGCAGTCGAGCTGACGGCAACAGGAAACGAGAAAAAGACGTTAACTCTATGAAAGAGAACGATTCCAATGAAGGACTACCACAGGTCCGTGAGTTGTCCGAGGTTGACCTTAAGACGGGATCGGTGATTGAAACAAAAGGTCCTAGTGCTGCTGGAAATGAGGATGACGTATCTACGGTAGGTAACATGCTTTTTCACGTTCCTGAATTAGTAGTATGTCCTTACTTTAGCATGCGATCATATGCACAAATCTTAAAATTCGCAAATACTAGGTGCAGGTATCATAAAGCATCACGATCGCAAAAGCTAGCTGTTACATAAGACCATGATTAAGAACTTTTTAGAAGAAACAGCAATAGTTAAATTTTGGTTACACTTAATTTTGGTACCATATTTTGAGAAGAAGTAGTTTACCATTGCAGGGGATCATTTTCGTCGAATCGGTCGACGATGATTCTAACCCGTGTCTCAAATCGAACGGCCACCATTCATGTCGAATCAAAAACGATCGGGCGGCCCCGAAGTCTAAGAAACGTTCATCGCAGAACGTTTTCGATGATGATAAACCACCTTCGAAGAAGACGGCCGTAATTGAACTGAGTGATGACTCGCAGGACGAAATCAAAGGCGATAAGCCAGAGACAGTTGTGTCCGGTAACAACGCCGCCTCCTATAACATTAGCATTGGAAGATTGCGCGCCCTGGGTACGAATGTTATGCCTGTTGGAGAGCTTATCTCACACAATCCTCCGGAAGTCATTGAAATTGATGATTCTGATTAGAAGTACTTAAACCCCATTATGAATTATTCGAACTTTTAATAGTATTCGTTAACAGGGTGAATCAGATAAACAGTAGGGTGTGCATTAGACGAGTAAGCAACTCAAGGTATTATGTAGCTGAGATGTTCATTGACAAGAAATACATGGATGTGGAAATCATAGAAGATTATACACCGATAAGACTTGCTATGTCCTGGATGTTAGCTTTGAAAACAGAAAATAAGCAAATATTTAGCGGTCGCAGATGTTCTTCTTCTTCATAATAATAACTACAAAAATATATGATGACATTTGATCATAAGTAGTGGAACAGGTAGAATATCATTAAAGCCAATAGCGGATTCAAAAAACATCCTAGAGATTGCTATGAAGGTCAGTTTCTACGGCACAGAGTGCACTTATCCACACAGAGTCACTTTTCTTGCTGTATAATGGGGCCACCAGTGGAAAGTCAATTTCACAAATTTAGCATTATATAGAAAACCTTTCCAAATATATATATATATATATATATTAATTCACATTTATTTATAAGGAAATATCGAAATATACAAATATGTCGTACTTGTATATATGCAGCAACTAATGTAAACATGTTTGGCGAGAGACACGCCTTTAAAATAAATATGAATTGGTTGTTATTAAAAAAAATTGAGCAGTTTGTTCTCATTATTGTCGACAATAATAATTAATAGCATGCATTTGCAGTTTCCAACTTATATTTTTGAAAATTTAACCTGCGTAGATTTTCGTAAAATGAATGGTATGTGGATAGTGGTCTATTTGGATCATTACGAACTTGTACTGATTGTTTTTGTGGATGTCACAGATTAGTAAGGCAAAGTATTTGTGGCAGAGTTCAAATATACATCACGCCTTTAACGCACGTCAGCAGGTGAATTGTGGGTTCACCGAGAACAGAGTTTAGTAGAAAACCCTGTGTCCTCCCCTATTCGATGCCATGACTGACGCACATTTTGAAGAAGACGCTTGCTGTGATGGACAAACAGCCGGCGTGTGCAGAGGATGCGCTCGGTCAGTCTGAGCAAAGCTTATAACAAGTTACGACGGTTGCGAGCGAAGAAAGTTCAGTGTTCAATAAAGGTTCCCTAACGCGACCTTACCTGATGTTTACCGAGCGAACACTTGCAAATTAATTGCGTAAGGTATGACAAATCAGTGTATTCAGCTCTTAATGTCTGCTTCCTGTTTGCTTCTGTTGCTTCTTTCGCCATCTCTCAAAGAGATGAGTATTTAGCAAGAATAGAATGGCATGCTTACACATGTACGTTAACACTGACTATTGCGGTGTGCGGAAAACTACGGTGTGTTTTAAGAAGTTAAGTTTCATTGTTTAGGAAAGAATATGCCATACTATCTTTGCATCGATTAGCGCACGAACTTCGTCGATGAGCAAAGTCAAAAAAAATGTTAGCTATCTTTTAGAAGACGAGTGTGTATTAAACATGTATTAAATACCCGTACTATTAATTAATAATAAAAACTAATTACATAAAGGAGCGCAGAAAAAGTTTTGAAATTTGTTACAACCCATCATAAGTTTCACTGGGGCAGTAGTTGAACGTTATTAGCCTCTTATGAATTTATGATAATACATATATAGTTTTTTTTTTTATAAAACTGACATCGGAGCAATCGTGTCAGTAGCCCTAGGGATCTGTTTACTTGAGGCCAAATACAATGAGAATCGTCAAGTGATTTTCCAAGATGATACGAACCATGTATCGAGGTCTATTTCATCTTGATCCACTTAAACAATAACGGTAGGGTTTGACTTAAAATGTTTGACATCAAACTGTTTTTTAGGGTTCGCTGACGGTGGTATTGCTTTTTCTGGAAGCAAGTGATAACACGTTTCTTATGTTTGTACTCAAAAATCAAAGGATCTAGCGAACCGAGGATTTTCTGTTAATTGTAGATTCCTTCGGAGATATAAAGGTTAGGTGTCTGCCTATTAAAGCGACAGCTTTGTAAGGTAGACGGTGTAAGGCCCAGGCGTAGACGCACGGTGCGCTTTACGTTGAAAAGAGTCTGGCGTATAAGGCCATGTTCAGAGATAGCTCTGAACGTAGAACTCGAAGCCTTTCTAGATTCTAACAAATCAATGATAAGTGCTCGACCTTTCAGCACATCAATGCAATTTTAAAACATTGAATTACGCTGAGTGTTTTGTCTCAGTGGTATCGGCAAATGAGGTGATCGAATTCAGCGGTAAAAAGCTTAAAGACTTTATTTCGATAAAATCATTGAACAAGTGCGTGTGCCAAGAATGTCACCGAGATCTACCCAGTTGGCGTATAGTGTCTTGAATACAAGATGCGTTTTTATTAGATTTATAACTGGTGGGGTTAGGAATACCTAACCCTATGTATTATCATTTAGTCCTGCCTAATCCGCCGACATTTTGAGATAAACAGCACGGATCATATCACCACGAATTTCATCGAAGGATGAGCTGAAGCTGTTAAGTTTGCATGGTAGAAAACTGTGAATGGCAGCGATTACATTGGGGAAAAACAATTTTGTAAGCCTAATTTAAAAAAAATGGATATTATTTAAAATAACTCAACCTACAACAATGAGGATACCACCACTTGCATTGGTGGGTTTAGCCAGATAACATTATAAAGGTTTTCCTTTAGATCAAAAAATGTACACTCGTTTTATCTAAAGGCTGGAGCGCTGGGGCGATAAACAGTATTTTAGACGCCTACTTCAATTCATATTTTCTTGTGTCAAACAGTTGCGGAGTTACTCCTGGGTGTATGTTTTGCATACGGTAAACACCGCTTAGCTAAGTATGCAGGTTTAACTGACAGTGATCGACAATTTACCTGTTTCAAAACTGGTTCTGGACGATGTTCTACGAATTCAAGCAAGCAAATGGAGTAGTTTTTTTGTATTGAGAGATCCTATCTTTGCAAATTATTGTTTAGTGGTACGCTTAAGCTCAATTATGGAGTCCTCATCATATACACTAGATTTATTTCGGTTGTTTTATCCTACCGCCAATGCGTGTGATTTAAGCTGAACGGCACGTATCCTATGGAATCTTGGCTGAACCATTACCTGTAGTTTACATTTAGCTCCTATTATTGCTTCTTCCAAAACTCTAGTGTTTTTTAATAACGTTTCGAATCAGTATCTCCTGAGCGTCTCGCACTACCATTTGGCAAAAAAAGAATTGACAGGAGTATCATGGGTACGCGAATTTAAACTAACGAATACGCACTGGTTGATGAATTTGAATTCCGGAAATGTGATTGACTCACATTAAGTTACGAAATCTATGGATTCTGTATTTCCATTTCAGTCATGCGTGATTTTATCTATATTGTGAGTTAATTCTTAGTGCTGCCAATTTTTGCGCTTTAAATGGCGCGCCAGCAACATTTCGATCCTTAAAGGTCTGCAAAACTGTTACCTTCAAACTACAACCGCTGCTTACGGATACGGTGACTATAGCCTTCTAATTTTACGGGGATATTAGATGAAGAATCTTGAAATTCCTCAAGCATTGCATACTTAATTAGAGCATAAGGCAGTACTGTAAATAACAACAACTAGCAATAATTAAATATACTGACAAACAATGTTTGCATTCTTCTTCCACTGGCAAGTCCAAACGAGGATCAAGCGGGTGCGTAGTCTAGGTCAAAAAGATACGAGAAAAAGACATCCTCTGCATATGAATGTACAAGTGTGGATTGTAAGGGAAACTAGTACTATAGTTAATACTATAGCTAGTAGAATATGTTTCAAATACGCAAAATCAATAATACAGCACTTGATATCGGCCAGGCTGCACCAGATCAACAGATACGTTAGCCTGTTCGTTAAGTTCAGTCAAACGTGACTGAATCCGACGACTGGCTATTAATACAAACATACAGAATGTTTAAAAAACCTGTTTAGTATTTAATGAGTCATAACTTTCTGGTTATCTTTCCCTTTCGATATTTAATTAATTGGAGGTAAGGAACTCGCCAAGATTAACCTTAAACAAAAAAAATTGCAAAATGCTATGGGAAGTATGACAATATAAACATTTTTGGGCAGCTCCACCTGCACGACTTATAATTAATCGGGTAAAAGCTACATTTTAGACAGATGGAATTGTTAAGCATCTTAATAAACAACGTCCCGAAAAAACAAAAACATCAATGATTTTTATCAGTCACTGAAGAGTTAGAGCTGAACAGTTCAGAATCGTTCACCACAAATAAATTACGAACTTGGCATCAGAAAATCACGTGTTCATCGCATTTTAAGATGTGGTAAATAGAAAACTTAGATTCCAGCAGTAGCACTTCCTATCAATAAAGATGAGTCGGACCAAACGTAACAGCATCGTATATTTATTGGGAGTTGCAGCGTGGCGCAGCATTTCAAGCAAAAGATTAATTAGACGAGTTAATTTCCCGTGAAAATTTATTTTACCACGCACTCGGGAGAATTTTGGTAACGATAGCGAATTATATCTTCAAAAGGAAATACACCCGCATACTGTCATCGAGATGTAAGAGCATGTACTACTGTTGTACGAATGTTCCAGATAAATAGGTTGAACGAAAGGGTCCTATAGAACACTTTGCACGTTTTTCAGAACTGAAGCCAGTAGGTCGTTCCCTTTAATGGTATTTAAAAATAAATTTTACGATATTTAAAAAAGAGAACCTGCAATATTTAAATAGCTAAAAGCCGCCATTAGGCACCAATGCGCCACAATATCAAATAAAATGTTTGTTAACATTTGTGGGTCTGTCGTTATCAGTAGCGTTTTGGGCGGAATGATAACAATTTTCAACATCTGTGGTAGGGAAAAAAATAGGTATGCATTTTATATTGATTTTTTATAGTTTAAGTATTTGTAAATACGGAAAGAGATTCTATGCAAATAAAAATAAAATTATAATTATTCAGACTGCGTATGAATTTTTTGGGACACCCAGTACTTGCGAAATGACGATGCCCTTATGTTATACCGAGTTGCTCTTACAGATGAAATGTTTTTAAGGGAAAGTAATCTGTCATATACTTAGAGACAACAAGCCATCTTCGGTACAAGTGAGTAGCTTATAAAGACATGTAAAGGAAAACCATGTTTCACAATACCAATATAAATATGGAGTTTTAAACGTTCAGGTAGTTTTACAGTGGTTTGTACCAACCTGAATAGACACGTTTATCTATTTGTATTATTGCACTTATCTTCGTGTATTGGAACCCTCGTATTAAATAATTAATAAACCTCCACGCTGTTGGAGCATAATAGCTGATGGTGCGTGCTTTACGACACAGGCTCTTTTGGGGGCGATTTTTGCCAAAACTCACTTGTCAGACAGGTTTATGCTTTAATGAATGTCTTCTAGTGGTAAAATTCTCACATAAATGCTAAAATCATGGAATTCAGCGAATTCTCAACGTTTTTAAACATAATAATTTTTTAATAAGCCGATGTCTTTGCTAATATAAGCAGAAACCCTTGATAACGAGAGAGAACTGAATACGATATAAGCCTGCGTGTCTTCTTCTAAACCCTCTTCCGCAACTGACTCTCAGTCTACGGCAGTTCTCATTATTGCTACT